CAAATTAGCTGCATTTCGCCAGGGCAGTGCAGCTGGTTTAACTTCCTCCAAGCAGCGAGCAGAGCGATGCAGCGAAATGAAGCTGGTTTGATGGTTTCTCCAAGCAGTGGCAGAACGAAAGTGCCAGACTGTGGCAAGCCGATTGTGTCATTAATAGCTGGTGAAGATTCTCAGTTATCCAGGACCCCTTCTGTTCTCACTCTATTTGCTCCCACTGGGGTCCATCCTGAGGAAACATAGTCTTTCATTCCATTGTTATGCTGATGACTGTCAGATGTAGCGGAACACCACCTCAGAAACAGTTAATCTCAGCTTAAACAGAAAATGTGTTCACCTCATATCAAACAAACATCATTCATGTGTTTTGTGTTTGAAACTGTTAAAATAAGATGCATCTTATTCCCTTGGGAACAAACAGACTTTGTTTTTACAGGTGTTCAACCAGCACAAATTTCTTAGTGGACACTAATGAAAGTGTACTAAAAAAAAACTGTTACTGTGCTAACTTCACTGACAATATGAACTCATTTCCCATGAAAGGACAGGTTGTTTAATGAGTGTGGCTCAACTGACCTCGAAGTGAAACATCTGCCGAGACTTCAACTTTTACCAGAGAGGAGTATTACTCCCAGGATGGTTTTTCCCATGGAGATAACAGTTTTAAAGAATCCTTTGTGTGTTTGACATTCTCTTTTCAGGAGATGAACAGCGACACCTTTTGATGAACACTGCATGTTATTTCAAAAGCTTTCGAACTGAATGTTTGTTTATGAAAATGTCTGTTTAAGTAACCTCTCTTTAAGATAATCATGTTTTATTTTTCTCCTTTTAAAAGAAGTGTGACTTTTTAAAGGCAGACAGAGAAAATGGACTGTGATTTTATAAAACATCACAAAGAGTTATGAAGCATCCCTCTTCCCAGGGGTGGATCCAAAGTCAGTCTGTAACACACAGACAGTTAAGTTTCACTTCTTCTACACTACTTCTACACTTCGACACCACTTCTTCATCCACTTCTTCGCTCCTTCTACACAACCCACTTCAACTTCCTCCTAGTGAGATGTCCTGGGAAGAAGCTTTTCTGCAAAAATGTCTCAGGATGAGAGAACCTGGCATTAACCTGAGATTTGAACCAGAACATCACACTGCAGAGTGGTAAATCCCAGCTGACTTCAAAGAGCCAGTGGCCGGACCGTAGTCCCTCCAGCTGATGATAGGTGAACTTTGAGGACACAATCCTCCTCTTAGTCACCGGAGCATCTCAGGCTTCGCTGGCATCATTATAAGCAGTTGTGGACATTCTGACAGCTCATTCTGGTGAGAGAGACCCTTCAACACATTTTCTGGTGATCATACATTCACAATATTACTTGATATACACCACAGTTAATTTAGACACAATTTTAACTACACCACAAAAACCAGTCCAAAATACTGCCTTTTATAAAAAGTTACACTGAATTTAATAATCAAGTAGACCTTTGATACAAAGCTATTTTGTTATTAATTTGTGTATTCATTTTTATGCATAATCTTCATCAGATATATCTCAGATTATTATTTTTGTAATAAATACATAAAATCCACTAAATTTGTGATTATTTTGGCATATCTGATGAAGATTATGCATAACACATTTTCTGTTTAAGCAGAGATGAACTGTTTCTGAGGGTGTTCCGCTACACAGATCTACCTGCCTGTGAAACCAGCGTTTGCTCCATTCACCCTCTGTTAAAATGTCTGGATGACATTAACGCCTGGATGGCTTCAAATTTCTTAAGTTTTAACGATGAGAAGACTGAAGTCATTGTCTTTAGCCCTAGCTCAAGTGCCGCCACTGATCCTGTCAACCTGGACTCTCTTCAGCCACATCTGAAGCAGTCTGGTAAAAATCTCGGGATGGTTTTAGACTCTGACTTCAAGTTTGACAAACAAATCAACTCTGTTCTGCAGAAAAGCTTCTTCCAACTCAGACAGGTAGCTAAGCTCAAGACAGTGTTGTCCAGACCCGACCTTGAGAAACTAGTCCACGCTTTTGTCACGACCCGATTGGACTATTGCAATGCACTGTATGCTGGGATCAGCCAGGCCTCCATCTCACGTCTTCAGCTCATCCAGAATGCTGCAGCTCGGCTTTTAACCGGAACTCGTAGGTCTGAACATATTACACCAGTTCTGTCCTCCCTTCACTGGCTCCCTGTTCGTACGAGGATAGTCTTTAAAATTCTTCTGTTGATCTTCAAATGTTTCAATGGCCTCGCACCCCTTTACCTCTCTGAGCTTCTGGAACCTTACGTTCCCTCTCGGGCCCTGAGATCATCTGATCAGCTGCTTTTGGCTGTTCCTAAAACAAGAAGCTCAGAGGAGATCGGGCTTTTTCAGTCATGGGCCCCAAATTCTGGAAAAACCTGCCCCCCAACATCAGGCAGGCCACCTCCCTTCAACCTGCCCCCCAACATCAGGCAGGACACCTCCCTTCAACCTGCCCCCCAACAGCAGGCAGGACACCTCCCTTCAACCTGCCCCCCCC